AAAATTCTCAGTCATTGACTTGGTCCTTACGGACAGAAGAAATCTTTCAGATACTCGGCCAAAATCGGCCTGTGGCAAATCTTCCAGTTCTCGATTTTCGTTATCAGCCGTGGGAAATGCCATTACCAAGGTCACTGATTTCGTAACTTTCGGTTTTTCTTTCCGTACATGTTTGGTTTTCTCTCCCCTAAAGGAAAGTTTTAACGTCACTGTCAGTAAGCGATACGGAGTTTTCAGTGTTTTAGCAACCATAATCCGAACAAATCCCGATAAAAGACTTTGGATTGAGGATGGTGAAGGCTTTGCCGCTCATGCATCAACCTGACCGACAGGCGCAATGGACACGAATGAAGTAATTCCTAAAATTAATTCCCCGTCTGGCTGAACTTGTTTAGCGGCAAAACGAATATTATGATCTTAATTCCGTAATCCAAGCTAAAAAAACTTCTTTTAACCTTCCAACAAACATTTTTTGGTTGGCTTGGTGAAAACTTAAGAGTTAATTTTAAATGATTTCTTGATCAGAAGTAAGAAAAATACACATATAAACGCGAAAAAACAACGCTAGCCTGGTTATTATTCCACTAGTATGTAGAGGGACACGAAATTTTCCAGGGTATTAAGGTGAAGAACAGGGCAAAAAATAAGGGATGAAAAAATAGCCGAACTGAACGATCCAAACTTTGATTTTTTCGCTAGTTTTTCGAGGCTTGACTTTTAGAGAAACGAAGTTTTAAGCGGAACAGATTTTTTTGTCGGTCATATAGTACAATTTTGATGTTTCTTTCGTTTTGTTTTCGTCTTTCGCGCACTCCTTATGCGATGGATGTGTTTCGCAAACCAAAATTAAAAAACTAAAAAGTTAAATAATGGTGGATAATAATAATCCTTCGGCGCTCGAAAGAATACTGCACAATTTTCAAAATATCCTTGTGTATTAAATTTTACATCATCGAATAAGGTATGTATATTTTTTAGGGACATAACTCGTACATATTTAAAGAATGCAAACTGCATGAGGCATGCACACACAAAGGAAATTAACACTCAAAAGCGAAAATACCCCATGGAAATACTAGAAGCACACAAAACCGTAGCAAATTAAAACAAGCCTGAACTGGCAAAGGGCTTAAAAGTTTTCTGCAATGTGCACCCTACCATTCCAAAACTTGGAACCACTGCTCGGTTCTACCTTCGTCATGGACTTTCTGAAACGGTACAAAAAAAATTTGAATTTAACTTTCTTCCCTGTTCGAATCGTAATCGATCATATTTGAACAGGTTTACGGCATCACTAGTAATTCCGAGTAGGACCTGAAAGATGCCATCGAATTTTGATGAAGAAAGAGTCTCTATTTTTGAAAACTGATCAATTGTAGGAACACTAATATAAATATCTGTAAAAAAAAAATTAAAAGAATATCAGTAAAAACTGATTTTATGCATTATTTAGGCTCTAAAAAATCAACCTTTTCACTACTTAAACTGTTTTCAATCTACCAACTTTCTTGCACCTGCTTACCTAGTTACCAAATCAGATAGCATTGAAACAAACATTCATTTTTCTTGGTCATAAACTTACCGACGGTGAAGACTACATATGCATCTCTGTCTGACATTTCTCCTTTGTGCCGTTGTGTACGGCAGAAGCCGTATTTCAGAGCCAGATCTGAGAGCAGTTAACTTTGCTGAAATGATACAAGGAAAAAAGCTGAACGCAAGCCTGATAAGAGAAATAGATGTGGATTCGGAAAGTTCCTGTCAGTTTGAGTGTGTGGATGAAGAGCGATGTCAATCTTACAACTTTGGAAC